AAATTATAACTGTTAATTATAACCAATATAGACACAGTTAAAAAACAATTCCTTTTGAAATTTTATTTCTATGCTGAGGAAAGTAACTTTGATTCATTTTATAGCATTGACTCAATTATTCTATATAATGAAAGTATATGGCATATGTCAATATTTTTTTCTATTTTTGAGATGAGGAAACTGAGACACATAAAGAATTTTACAACACTGAGCTAGGCCAGTGATCCTAATATCTGTGATCCTAATACTTGAAATACAAAGACTGATGGACCAAGAGTTCAAGGCCATCCTGGACTATATAAAGTAACCAGATTACAATAAACTGACTGTTATAACATATAATATCAGGGCAAAGATTTGTACACATAAAATATGAAACTAGAGCCTCTGACTCCATTTTTATAACCCAAAGTATTAAAAAAGAAACAAATTGATTATTTAATTGCCTTCTACTCTTTGGCTGTTAAAATAATCAGAATGCTCAGCTCCTGATGACTTTAATACACAACACAGTTGCATTGCAGAAATGATAGAAGATTTGCAGAAAATAGCTATAAGAACTCTTAGACAGGCATCCCTTGCCCCATGCCTTAGGAATAAAGGCAGCTCCCGGTCTGGATTTGTTTTAGATGATTTCAAGTCCTTCTCTCATTGAAAGAGAATTCTGAAAGCAGTATTAAAAGTATTCAATGGTGAACACTATCATATATGGTGTAGAATAAACTAAATGTAAAACCCCAGTTATTAAATATTCTAAAAAAATCACTATTTTGTAATAAATAGAGTCAAAGAAAAATCTATAAAAGGAAACTTCAAACATGGCAAATCCTAATAGAGTTACAAAAAATACACCAGAATTTCACTTCCAAATTTAGAAACACCATGAGACACAGTTTAAAGAGCCAGCCATGTAATCTTCAGTAGTTCACTTAAAATACTGAAGTGACCATGGCATAGGTCATTATCCTACCTTCTACACCTTTGATAAAAATCCATAGTGATAGAATATAGAGGCAACATTCCTTCCTTCATTCCTACCTTCCTTCCTACCTTCCTATCTTCCTCCCTCCCTCCCTCCTTCTCTCCTTCCCTCCTTCCCTCCCTCCCTTCATATATATTAAATCTCCACAGATCACAGCTCTTGGTAAATTTAACTTGACCTTCATCATGAAGTTCACTGCTGGTTGTCAGTAGGTAACATTGAGGCAAATGAGAAATGAAGGCTTTACAAAGGAATATGTCCTTAGCTGAAGATAAGGCATTGGGTAAGTGATGGGGAATGTACTGTGTATGTTTATCTTACTGATTGTTGTTTTGAATACTGTTTTGCCAATTAGACAGCCAGTTGGATGGAGCTGGGAGTCGGGGAGGATTCTGGGAAATGTAGTGGAGGGGTGGTGATCCAGGCAGGAGGTAACATAGCAAGGAGACTCATATTTAAGCGAAGGAGAAACGAGAAGGGCCCCCATTATCACTTCGCCTCCTCCAGCGGCAGGATGTGATCCACCGGCAACTGACTATGCCAACATGGTGTCCGATAAGATAAGTCTTATAAAATATATAGGTTTATGATAGTTAAGACTGAGCTAACAGATGAGAATCCTAGTCATTGGCCAAGCAGCATTGTACCTAATACAAGTTTCTGTGTATTCATTTGGGCCCTAACTCAGGTGGGCGGCTGGCGTAAAGGGCACATGTGGCAGTGGGGCTTGGCAGCTTTTGGCAGAAAGATTTATCCTAACAGGTAAGTATCAGAGAAGACCTCCATGAAAACAATCCTGCCCTGACCAACATATGAGAAGCAGATGTTTAAATCAGAAAGAAGGAAAGACACAGGAAGACAGCAGGAAGACACAGCGGGGAAGAGAATGATGTCTGGAGGAAGTTAGTACTGATTTGTCAGTGACTGCTTCCATTACTTTATTCTCAGAATTTCAAAGACCTCAGAAAATAGGACACTGTCAGGTCCTATGTTTTAAAAATTGGAACATGTGTTTTCAACCTAATTTCATCTCTCTCTCTCTTTCTCTTTCTCTCTCTCTCTCTCTCTCTTGTGTGTGTGTGTGTGTGTGTGTGTGTGTTCCTGTGGGGGAGCAGCACATGTGGAAGCCATAGATGACACTTTCATTTAATCCTCACTTTCAACTTTTTAAAAGACAGAATCTCTTTTTTACCACCACCATGTATACCAGACTAACTGACCCATAACTTGCCAGATACTCTGTCTCCCTCTTCTGTCTCACAGTAGGAGCACTGGGATATGAGATGTACAAGCTACTGCATCCCACTTTACATGGATTCTAGGGCTATGAATTCAGGTGCTCTTGGCACATTCTTTCTCCACTCAGCCAACTTTCTGCCCCCCAACATGTACTTTAATAAAAAGAATTATATATCTATCCCCCTTAAAACGAACCAAACTACACAGCCCCATCTTGAGGCAAATTGGATAGCTCTCTTATAAGAGGGCTGATTTTATTGGACTGGGAGGACCTGAACTACATGGGTACACTGGAAGTGAGAGAAAATGCTTGACTACCTGTTAGGTATCATTACTTGGGCGACACTATTATGTCTAATTTATATTTATAAAATAAAGGTTTCCAAAGCCCAGTGACACTGTAATCCCAACACTGAGAACAATTTTTTACCTCAAAAGTACTGCAGTATAGAGGAGCTTTATCAACTTCATTAACACTTCTGTCTTCCTTTTTCACTCTATCCAAAAAATGCTTATCTCAGTTTTTTTCCAGTGAAAAAATATCACTGGCTCAACACTAGCAACAGGCTTCCCATGTAAAGCTCATTGAAATTGTATTTACAGAACTGAAATTGGAAAGAGACGATAACTCTTCAGAGAAACAGAAAACAGTCCAACCAGACAACTGAGATACCACCATGGATTAGAACGCAGCATTTTTATTGGAAAAGTCCATATGTTAGGCAATTTTCTTGTGAAAAGGTTTGCAAATACATAGACAGGGAGCAGGTGATGATTAAGAATTGGATGATGTATAATATATATCTATATTGCCAATATTATACATATGTTGGAAAGCTAGTTTTATTTCTTTCCTCAGTATCTTTACTGCAGAACACTTTTCAAGTTGACAATAATATCGTGTTTCTCACAATTGGAATTTGCCAACAACTCTCCCAAAGAGTCAGCATCGACTATTTTGACATTTTAAAACAAGAAAATAACCATCTATTTACATCTGTTTGAGGTTAAATACTAAAGCTCTGGTATATTAAAGGTTTGTGAAACCAGCAGCTGAATGTTTTCAAGATTCATCCAGATGAATTATAATGTCTTCATGTATTTTTATATTAACAAAGACACTCTCTTTAATTATCTTTTCATCACCTATAAAGTTACACTAACTATGATTTAACTTTGATTCAAATATTAAAATCAATGTTTTCCCATAAAGAAGAACTGACGCTATGGTTACTACTTTTTTAAATAGTGATTCTTGTCTAAAGCCAGGCAATCACTCCATTTAATTATTATGGAGCAAAATGAGCCTACACTCAGAGTCTCAATGTCCTCCATATCAGTCATGCAGTGCCATTTCAGTTTTTAATCTAACCTTCAGTAAATTGTTTCCAAGCACAGAACACTACATACTGTATACCAGTCAGGTATGAATTTTGCTCATACTTTCATAGGTTCACAAGCAGAAATTTCTTTAACATAGTAAATTGATTCTTAAAAAAACTGGATAAATAATCAGGAAACTATATGCTCAAGTCAATTGCATACATAGGTGTATAAAGTAGATATTTTATTAAAATGAATACAGACTTTGTCTAAAACAAATTTTTTGAAGATGAATAGAATAGTTGCAGTTTTTTAGATTCTCTGGTTATTTCTACAGATAATGCATCACTTGCCAAAAGCAATGTGAAAAGATGAATCACTTGTTCTGAATCAGAAAAAGATATTCACCAGACCATAGGAGGGTGTGTTGCTTCCGGCCATATTTAATGAGCACTGACTATGTGCCAGGTACAATGTAAGATATTGAGAACCCAAAGAATAAATGACAAGGACCCTGCCCACAAGGCATTAGCAATCACTAAAGCAGATATTGTGATGGAGAGAGATTTCTATTAAGAACCAACATCTTCAAAGAAATGTAAAACAGCAGCAAGCAGATACATTTACTTTATAGGCTAGTGATGATGTTGGGCATATTTAGAGCTGTCAAATATCAATCAGCCTAAATTTTACTCAGGGTTTTAATGTCATACAATACTAACATAATTTTAAAACTTGAATTTTCATGCATGAGGGAGAAAACAGTGAAGCCTTTCCAATTTCAAGCCCAAATCCTTGTAATTATATTAATAGATTCTCTTATAGCCCACAGACACAAAACAAAAGACAATACTATATGATGATCATTTAGTTCATTTATTTTGGCTCTAAAGAGATGCATGCACTAAACTTGAGGCATTCTACATTACTGAAATATTTACATCATTGTACACATGATATGCAGGAAATTTTTTCCTACCTTGGATAAAGGTATAATAGAATTCTAATCTAGACTTTTCTATTGTGATTCTTCACAAATGAGGGAGGTATTCTAATTTGTTCCAGTTTACCACAGCTTGACCTCAAGTGAACACAGCACACAGCTTTGCCCCTTTTGTCCTAAACCATATGGGAATCAAAGACTGAACACTGATAAACACTCACAGCTTTCATCATTTCCATTGCTCTTGCTTAAAGGTATCATGATTGGTGTAATAATACCTGTTCTAGCTTTACTTTGCCTTGCAGGATTGAAAGACAGCTCATACCAAAGTTCAAATTACAATAACCACAGGAGAGTTGGCACGCGTAGTAAGACATTATACATATTACTAGGTTGAAACAGAAAAACAAATTCAAGGATAACATAGGGGATTATTTCATTGGACTTAGAAAGGACATTTTCTTTCCATGAGATTCAGCGATTGAAACGCCTACCAATGAAACCCATACCTCCTCACAGATAAAGATAGGAGACCCAGTAAACCAGGTTGAACAAACAGAAGGCTGTGGGGAAGAAGATCCGAGCATAGGAGTCCATTTTGGCAATGCGAATATGTATCCTCCCATGTCTCCAGGCTCCTGTCCGGCAATCTTCAAAACAGCAGAAGAAACTGGCACAGTCCTTGCCATCCAGACACTCATAGCCATATTCTTCATCCCTCTCTTGAAGGTGTGTGGCATTGTTCATTTGGATGGTTGCTGATCTGGGACGGATATCAATTGTAGGAGCCTGAGACAAGGTAGGTAAAGGAGAGAGATTCAAGTTAGCTACAATGGAGTATGCTACATGGTTTCTCCACAATGTCACCAATGAGATGATGAATCTGAAAATGAGTACTCAGGAAATTGCTTATGACATCGTGATCTACGATGGTAAAATTGAACTCAGAAAGATAGCACGGTTGCAGGTTTCAGACTCTGAGCTTAAGCGGTGCAGCTGGAAACAATACCATCAAGCTACAGCAAGAATATTGAACACCAAAAGAACTTAAAGTATCAATATTTAAATCAAACTACATGGAATCTTATACTATTAATTATTAGATATGAAGCTGGTTACATGAAGCTGGTTAATGGTACTGCAAGTGAGTAAAATAGAGAAATAAAAATGCATTGGTTTTCAAATCAAATTGCATGTCATGCTAACTTATAAGCAAATAGGAACCCATCATACTGACCAAATATACTAAATAACTTTAACAGCAAATACTGATATGCATGGATAAATAAAGAAGTTCATTGATTTTATAACACAAAGATTTAACTTATGTATTAAAATAATGTAGTTTGTCTAACACTCACCAACCTCAAACTTAAAACTGGTATCAGTGTTTACATACATCAAATGAGATTATGAATTCAAAAAGAATGTTATTGCTTGTCAAGTTTTCTTAACAAGGTGAACTGCAATTATTGACATAGTAATCTAATATTCCATGTTTGAACAACAGCAAAATTAACCCAATACTTAAGGCTTATTTTTAGCCTTTGGAGTGTATAAATATAAATCACGGTTTCTAAATTAGTTATTAGTGATAATAAAAATCCCATTGCAATATTTCACAGAGCCAATAGGCCTAGTGATCACCTTGGCAAGGAAGGAAGGAGATTTTAAATAAAATCTTGTAAAGACAGTTTTCTTATTATAAAATTCTCAAGTACACAGAGATTAAGTTCATAAAATGTGTTTTAATGCCTGATTTTAATTAGTGTTTGCAGAGTTGAAATTTAGTTTTAAAACTATATATATTCTTTTGATATATGTATATAAGAAGTATATATGTAAATTATAAACAGTAAAATGTATTTCATATACATCTGAGGAGACACAGCACATTTGGGCTTTGGGATTATAGAAGTCTTGTTATCTGTGATTCCTACTGGCCTTGTGGTTTGGAGCTGAGTGTAGAATAAAAATCTATATAATGTCTAGTTGCTGAATCAATTCCAGAGGTCTATAGAATGTTCTCCACCTTGAGTGTGCCAGCATCTATTAGACTACTTAAATGCTTACTCATAACAAAAAATAAAGCACCATGGAAAGCATTAATAGTTAATTCAGCAGTGGCATGCAGTGAAATTTCCATTCCAAAACATTATACCTTGAAGGAAAACATCCGAAGAAGCTTTGGATTTGTAGACAGAAAAGAGAATTGCATTTTTTTAATAGAAAGAAGGAAAAGGAATAAAAAGAGAAAGAGAAACAAAATAAGACAAATTAAAAATACATTTTGAAAACGCAGTAAGTAAAATGAACTGAAAGCATAAACATAGAAGGTGGGCTTTGAGATTGGCATAATTTGTATATCTAAAGTTAGAAATAACATTTTGTTATTGGTGATCAAATCCTTAACAAATTACCCACAAGAATATGACTGCGCAAGCCAATGCTGTTCAGTTTCAAGGATACATCCTAGTGAATACTTTGCCTGTAGAAAAACAGTATGAATTGTGTAATTGTCATTAAAGAGGATCTCATATATGAGTCCTGACAAGGAGGAATGAAGAACACATTGAACAAGGAGATGCATTTTCAACTGCTTAGACCTTTACCATCTAGACTGCAACTAGCTCTGATAAATAAACAAATTGACTTAAAAGGAGAAAATGCATAAGATTCTCCAGGAACTACATTTTCTTGTTTTCTCTGTTCTCTTTTCCTGTCTGTCTTCAATTCTCCTTCTTCTATTGCTGTGAACCTGAGTTAAAGAATCCACTATTTCTGTCTCTGTAGCAATTTCCACACTCAAGTGATAAGGAAAGCCAGAGGACTTTTGGAAAGGACGTCAGACTTTGCCTAAAAGCCTGCCTCCCATCCTCCTCACAGATGAGTATCAGCACAGCCATCTTATTTGAGGGAGATGAAGTAGGAAATGAAGGAGAGGGACTAAGTAGAGAAACAAAATTTAAAGCAAGAAAATTCAAACAAGAATAGGAAAAAGTGGAAAGGTAGAAACAGAGAACAGAGAGGGAAAGGAAGGACCATACACAGCACAAGAAATATTTGGGAGATTAAAAGAAAGCAAATTTCCTTTTTCATTAACCAATGATGCTATTTTATTTACCATTTTACTTTCAAACAAACAGGTCATTTGTAAAATGTCTTCAGTATTTTCTGAATGTACATCAGAATATGAGTCAGATCCAAGTAGAGTTCTCTAGTCACTAGAGTTCTCTAGTCACCCCACAGATCATGGCCAGTTAGATAGCCTCTGAGAGCAGAAAAGTAGGGCAGGGTATCAATCCAGGAGCCTAGGGCTATAACTTTTGTCACCCTCTCAAAAGAAAATGAACTTTCACTTCATGAGGGTTCTGAGACCCAGACACTAGGACCAGATGGGTAAGTAGGCATCTATATGCTGTCCTCAACACTCATGATAAAAATATAATGCCTTTACTTATTCATATTTAAGTCTCATTCTCTTCTTTTATGGTTTAGTACAAGCAGAAGTCATCTTACCTGTTTCCAAATCAAGCAGTCACCAAAAAAAAAAATTCAGGTTGTCAGCTGTACAAACAATCAGTATCAATTTCTATTACCATTCACCAAGTTTAAGAAATATCATATGACTTTTTTTGTATTTTTTCTGTATTTTGTTGGCTTGCTGATCTTCACTATAACATTTATTTTGCCTATCAACCTTATTTAAAATTTGTTTTTTTAAGATATCCATTTAACTTTATTTTATATGAGAAAGCAGAGACAGGAAAGCTAAGTAACTTGCCCACAGAATATTAAGCCATTTGTTTTGTAGAAAAAAAGACACATGTGGGTATGCAATGATTAGAAGCCTTCTAGTAGAAAAATGCATGTGTGAGTATAAACACACATACACACCTATACATATGCATACACACACTAAGTTATTTACCAATTGGTACAACTAGTAAACTAATACAAGAACCTAATGCTTTGGAAACCTTTGGTGTGCATTTTCACTAAAACATAGTAATTTTAAAAAACTATGTTAAACTGGACAAAAAGATGAAAGTCAAGGACACATAAAATGATAATTCAAATGTATCCCTGAAAATTGTTTTAACCCCCTATATTGAGGACAATGTACAATTATAATTGCATAAAGAGTCTGAATTAGAGTATCTTGAAACTCTGCCCTAACTAATGACATAAATAAACCTTTATTTTCTGGTTGAAAGCTCACTTATTCTCTTTTCATCATGGAGTTCAATGTGCTGAACCACAGTGTAAGCTAACCAATCCAAAAGCAAACCAAACCCAATGACCTTTCCTCATAAAGAGTTCGCTTGTCCTGATGGGAAATGATACATACAGGGTTTTTCTTCTTTTTGTCTTTGTCCTTGCTTGGTTTCCGATTGCTGACAAAATAATGCAGGGTGCCATACTCCACCAAAGCAGAAAACACAAAGATGAAGCAAACAGATACGAAGAGATCCATTGCTGTGACATAGGAGACCTTTGGCAGAGATTTCCGGGCTATGGTGCTGAGAGTAGTCATGGTCAGGACAGTAGTGATACCTACAGAGAACACAATAAAAGAAATCCCATGATGTGATCAAAAAGGTTAGTATCTGAGTCATGATACTTGTAATATCACTTCTATTCAACAGCCTCTGGAAGGGAGGAATAACTGGGAAATTGGAATTAATTCAACTGTATCTAAAATACTCTCTGTCTTTTATGTATTGATTTTGATTGGGACTAAGTAAAAAGTGGGAAATATTATAGATGTCTATCTCAGTGCTGTATATTTTAGTGAGAGGAACCAGCATAATGAAGTTAGGAAAGAAAGTCCTGGTTTCAATTTCTGATATATATCATGGAAAAGGCAGGGATGGAGAAAACAGACAGTTCGCATAGGAGGACCTTTAGAGGCATCCGTGCTCAAATGGAGGCTTCAGAAGTAAAGTGAAATCAGCATTTTGGCTATTAATTAATTAAAGGCAGGATCTGAGGAAAGGCAATAATGTTTACTTATGAAAATTTAGACTGCCTGCCATCTGTGGAAAAGCAAGGAGATCAAGGGGATATTGGTGACATAGAAGTGCATTAATCCTGTAGTATACATGTGGTATATGGCATCATGTTTCTTCAACAAGGAGAAACCTTTCAAAATTGCTAAACAGGAGACATGGGTAAATGCATAAGTGAAACCATCTGATTAAGGTTTGCCCAATGAAAATAACGACCTCTGAAGTTAACAAAACTACCTAGAGCACAAGAGGGAATGGTATTCTGTCCAGGCTAGTATAAGGTACAGATGAAATATAAATGTGGACATCCTGATATCAACTGCTTTTCACTGTATTACATTTTTAATTTAGAAATACAGGAAAATATGTAGAATGAAACCCCAGGGAGCTGGGAGTATTGCATCATCTTGATTTGGTAAACAATGCAGTTCTGGGAGGCTCCACTGTATTATTAGAGGGAGAGCATTCTTAGGATTCCTATTGGTTTTGATAGTGTGAGATTTAGAGTTCACCTTCAAAAAATAATGGTGAATCTTATCTGTCTGTGTGCACATTAAATGGTTTACCAATGTATGTAGATGGTATTATGTTGAGGATTTGGACAGTTGTCCAAGGGTTCATGTGCTATCTTCAGCTTGACACTTTTGGGACATGCTGAAACATTTAGTAACAGGGGAGGAAGTCAGGACATTGGAGGTGCACACAAAGAGAGATATTAAGATGCCCCCCACTCCATCTCCTCAGTTTCCATCTATCCTCATGCCCTAAGCAGACTTATTCCTTTATGAATTTCAACCATTATGTCCCCTGGCTCAGAACAACATTGTCAAATGACTACATTCTGAATTTGTGAAACTATGAACCAAAATAAGTCTTTCTTCCATTCACATTGATTTACTTGTTACACTGATGGAAAACTGACTAACATAGAGAACCGACATCAAATAAAGTCTCAAATATGGTTAGATATTTGTGTTTATTTTGGAGACGATCTACTTCCTAAGCTAAAAGAAACTAATTAGGTTGGGTACACATTAATTCAAATTGAACTTCTTGATTGTACCTAATTGCATCCTATATTTTTGTAGAGAATATAAAAAAACTGAATTGGAAACTGGGCCTTCATTTTCACAATCAGGCCTCAAGCTATACTTGAACTTTGAAAATGAGAAAATGTAACTATTTTTGGTGGAGACCACAGATGAGTTCATTTTAGAAGACCTGGCATGTGACACTTAAATCAAAACAAATTCTGACACATTACTTAAATACTGATCTTGCAAAAGTAAAAGATGTTATTTAGGACACAAGGAAGTTCATCCCAGCTATTCAATGTGATCTTGAGGAACTGCTTCCTGTTTCCAGGGTGCTTTCTGGGGTCACAGAAAACAGAAAAACTAGGACATTAGAAAGTAGGGAAGTCATGGTTTTACATCAACAAGGTAACTTGAAGTCCTTTTGAAGCCCAGTTTTACTAACTGAAGAAATGAAATTAGCACAGATTTTGCTAATTACTCTAGTCCTGGCATGAAGTAAGCTTCTCAGCAACACCATCTCACCTCAGAATACTTGCATGAACAATGCTAGTCCATGTTTGAGTCTTACTGTGCCCCCACTCTCACTAGAGCATGATTAACTTGCCCCAGCTACCAGCTGTATACCAATCCACATTCGTTTGGTACATGATCCAGAAATATGTCCTCAGAAAGCAGCCAATATCCCAAAGTGTTGTCAGTGGCTCTGCCATCATACAAATCAACTATAACTGTCCCATGACAAGAAGTTGAAAATCTGTAGGTGTTCCAGGTAATCACATTGACATTTTGACTACAAATGCCTGACAAGATCATGGAACTTCACAAATATAAACTCATGTTCTGAAAAGTGACTACATAGCTGACTCACCTGGGATTAAAAAGCAAAAGTCCATATGTGGGTTAGGCTCAAAGTAAATGACATAAGCACCTCATGGAGTGGTGTTGTAGAATATTCCTTTATACTGCATGCAGATATGCCACTGTGATTCGTTTAATAAAAAACTAAATGAGCAAGAGGTAGTGAGACAAGCCTAATCTCTAGGCCAATATTTCATAATGAATAAGCCTCTGTGTGGTGCACAGGAGGCAGAGGCAGATGGATCTCTGTGAGTTCGAGGCCCGTCTGGTCTACAAAGCTACACAGAGAAACCAGAGAGAGAGAGAAGAGATAGAAGAGAGAGAGAGAGAGAGAGAGAGAGAGAGAGAGATATGGCAGCACAAAGAAAAATCCATCTACAGGGTGGGAATAAGTTTCCTGTACTTCCAAAACATTCTCACATTTACATTTAAGAAGCACTGAACTAGAAAACTGAGAACAAAGTTAAAATAGAAATATGCTCAGCTTGGCTTCTGTCCTTTGATGACAAGTAAAATTCAGCATGTCCTCACACCTGGGACAAACCCATGTTCAATTGTTGAAGTTGCAGGTCTGCTACCAACTGACTGTGTGACTTTGTGGGTATTACTTAACTTTCAGCATATTTGCATGCTTATCTCAGCTCTAAAATATGATAATTCCATTATTACATCTTCTTTCTATGGAGATTTCAAAACATAGTGATAGCAATAGAAACATTGAACATCAATGATCTATAAATTATCAAAGGAGAACCTGCTTCCTGTCTTATGAAGGGCTTTTCATCAACCTACTTCTATTTCTTTCTTTTCAAATGATTTGTTGCTAGAGAACATTTGTTACTGAGTGATTGAAATGAATTGGTCATGTGGTCATTAAAGATATATTGATCAAAAGAACCCAGCCTTCAAAAAGGGAAGACTGATTGAAATATTTTCATCAAAATAATTTTGGGAAAATGGCATATTAGAATATATCAGAGCATTTGCTCCATCTAGTCATAAACATATAAATTAACTGAATAGCTACTGAGGTAATAGCATGCTGGAAGATCTGTGCCAGTGATAACTAACACATATGCAATTTCTCCTGAGAGATGGTGACACCCCAACAAGTAACACGGTGCAACATTAGGCCTAACAGATTTGGAGTTTGTTTCCGTATGTGGCATTAGACAGGACATTTGAATTGTTGAATAGGATGTGTAACACAAAGTACTGCATATATATCAGAAAAAATCAAAATAACTTCATTTCGAAACAGATGGCAAAACTAAATTGGGTTTGGAAGAGGACAGATATGCAAATGTTGTCTTTTCCCCAGTAATCACTTCTGCCCTCAGTTTAATAACCTGGTACAGATCATTTTATCAGAAATGATGAGAATCACTATCATTTTTGAGGCTTTTCTTTGCTCAATGTGCTTTGCGTAGAATACTCTACTTTAGACCAATAAAACCCTTCAAGTTAGGAAGCAGGAGCAATACCGATTTTACATGTGATGAAACCATGGATTGGAGAGAATGAGGTTTGTTGCATAGCCCTATTCTATGTGTGGTTGGAAATAAAGATCACTGACATTTATAACCCATGTTCTGCTACTACTTACTCCACATGCGGTTTAGCAAGGCATGTAGTACCATGTTACTCATTGCTGAGGAATAAATTTTCCATGGAATGATCATTAATTCTTTGGATGGAGACTGCAATGTCCCTGTAAGTTGGTAGCTTTGCTTTGGTTTGTGAAAAATTTCTTCCATGTGTATAAGCATAAGATGAAAAGCTAAGACAGGTATCTCCACATCTAAAATATTGACTAAATTCCAAATGATCATAAAAATAATTATGTTCCCAGATTTGTCAATTGTGTTTCCCACTTATTAATCAATTAAATGACTCTTTTGGAGTCAGTTTACTCAAATATCATCACAATAATTATTTTTGTTGGAATTAACCAAGAGTTCTGTGCTAGCAAAAAGGTAACAGTTGGTTCTAGAAAACACCAGTGCCTGGTTATTGTGCTTCCCTTTCCCAAGATACTGAAAATTCCACCTTGGCAGATTTCAAAGTCTTCTGTAATATCACTAAGCAAATAATTGAGAATGGATAATGTGTTTAGCTCTTATGAATATTTCTGGAAAGGTTAAAAATTTAAGGAGAAAATACAAAATTCACTTGAAATTAAGTTTTTGTTTTGTTTTTATCTTTAGTTAAATTTATTATTTAATTATACCAAGAAATCCTATGCCAATTAAAGAAGATAGAACTTCAGTACAATAAATAAATAACCACACTGATTTCCTTTAAAATGTTAAAAATGGGTTTTCATTTAACTTTTGAATTCCAAGTGAACTCACTTAAAAGGAGAAATAAAGACTGACTTTCTCAGGTGCTTATCTTGAGACACCAGAGAACCCAGAAATAAGTCTCACCTAAAGATGTTCTGGCAGGAACAGCATCCTTATTGATCCAGAAGGACACCCAGGATAGAACCACGATGAGTGTGCAGGGGATGTAGGTCTGGATGGTAAAATACCCCATTCTTCTGCTCAGATCAAAGTACACAGACATGACCACATAGTCACCTGGAACAGAAAGACAGAGCTATGGGAGTTCTCATCAAATACCATGAAGTGTGGATACATATCCAACATTTGCACATACACTTGTTTTCATAGTTGACTTGAAGGATAAGTAGAAAGATCTTTTGTAGCCACTATGGCAAAACACAATAGCATAATTATAATATAAAGTCCAGCCTGAATTGGAGTATAGCTCTCTAATCAGAAATTATACTACCAGAGGGAAAGAAATGTTTTTGAATAGCAACAACATAGAAGGTCTTCTTTGGTGTGAGTGGGGGGGGTATTCTTTCTGTACAAAGCCTTGCTTGCTTGTCACATATTGCAATTCTGTAACAATTTTCCCCTTATTACTTCTATATATACAGATCACTGGAGAGTATCTAGGTTATTAACACTGATAAAACAGTATTTTGGTCAAAATTATAGTTTCTTTCCCACAATGATTGCTACAGTAGTTTCGTAGCAATTGCTTTCATCCATGATTGTCTTTCATTTGGGGGCTGATACTGTAAGTCTGTCATTTGATTGATACCTGCATGAATCTCTAAACACTGCCTCTTCCCTACACTCTCACACAGTCAGTTGTTAGCATATCGCTTCAGTGGAAATGGGCAGTCAATAATATTTGATGAATACATGCATAAATTAAAGTCAATACTTCAAAGTCCAAGAAGTATATTATAAAATTTTTGGATTTTAAAAATGAGTGTGGTATAAAATGACATTTAGTCTAAGAAGGATCAATATTATGAGATGAAGAAGAATGGAATGTAGGCAAAACGTCTGTCTCATGAAGCATGAAAGATAATATACTGCTATTGATTTTTTTCTGGTTTCTGCGGTTATAGTACTTTTTTTCATTTTTGTGGTAAGTAAGTGTATACAAATGTAATAGCTAGTGATGATACAAAACCTGAATCAAAGCCCCATTGATATTGAATAGCCATTCTAATGGAACAGTTCACTGAGACTCAAAGATTTTTAGACTGTGCAAGTATGTATTGGAGTGGTTGATTACCTTACTCTGAATCTGTGATATTCGTATTTGTGAGTTCCATGCACTAAACTGATTGTACCTTTTTAAATGAATTTATTATTTCTTAATGTATCATGGAACTCATCTCTAATCCCAGCATGAAGCAGGATATCTGCCTAGTTCAAAGCCTGCCTAGCAGCCTGGGATGCATAGTGAGTTCCCAGCCAGCAAGAGCTATATAGTGGTACTGGATCTCAAACAAAGAAACAAAGAAAACCATAAATAAATAAATAAATAAATAAATAAATAAATAAATAAAACAGAAAACAAATAAAAAGACAATGAAAAACATCTACCAATAATTTATATTTAAAATTATAAGGAATGTATTTAAAAAAGCTCCAAGCAATCAAAAGAATAGTCATATAGCTATTCATGTGAATAAAATACATAAGATGATCTAAAGTCATTGAATTTCAAAAGTGACTTTGCATAAATTGTGTGTCACCAGCTTGTACCATGTCTATAAAACAATCCACTCTAGTTTTCAAAATTACAAGTTTGTACCATGGTTCATCTCTCACCTAGTACACATTTATACCTTCTATGGTAATTTCAAACACTGCATCTTTAGTCAAATGTGAGATTATACATGGATCCCATTTTCAAGTGTTTGCTTTCACTGTATTATATTTTGTTCTAACATGTGTACACAGTTGAAGTGTAATCATGTGCAGCAACTGGATAGTTTGGCTTTGTGCCTGTTTTTATTTACTCATGATTTAATGAAGCTGATGCAAAAACAAGAAACTGATGTGAAAAGCCTCATAGAGAAATTGATTCAATGGGGTGTTACAACTTCAGCAGTCTTAGGACTTAGACTCTTACAAACTGCTGTGATACCCTTTCTTTGGCTGCTCTTTAAGAAACTGAAGATACACCCACCCCCATGCTCTGGATATTCTCAATACTGAAATTTTAGATAACTCTCATTATTGCATATTGGTATCTTCACAAACCCTCCCTTGTCTCATTTAACCCTGACTGAAGAATGGCTCACCTGGCTTTCAGTGGGAACACCAGTACCCTCATGGTTAGCAATGAGTAGTAATTATTTTGGAATTATGCACAAATCTTCAAAGGTAGAAACTTTTCAACTCTGTTAACTCACTTTTAAGTAATTTCCTAAGACTATAGCTCTCTGTGTTGATTTATGTGAATATCTGAATAATATTTCATAAATTAATTTCTCTGTTTTTATCCTGATTTTTAGTATAATATACACAGATCTTTTTCTTTCTCATTTCTATGGTCACAGCAAAAACAAACGTAAGCTTATTTATTTCATATGGAAAGCAGAATGAGTAGGGAATTTTCTTTATAAAATTTATAAAAATAATATCTGAAGATACATTTTCTCCCATGAGTTTTCACTATATTTAAACATACATTAATTACAATTTAGAAATTGTAAGATTTTAGATAAATTGACACAAAACTTTAGGAACTTCATATTGTATAATCAAAGGAGAGCCTACACTTTTATGTTAATGATCTGACTCCTCAAAAGTGAACTTTAATTTTGTTCAGCATTAATAAGATTGTCATCTTGATTTAATTCTTCATTTCCCCCTAGGCCTGGGTCTACACTCTCACAGTCTACTTATTTAGCAGCCTCTATTATAAGGTAATAGCTTTTGAATGCCTCCATTTCTTGGCTGCAAACCCTAAAGCTTTTCTACCAAAGGATTAAGGATTCAAACTCCAGACCAAGTCATTTAAAAGCAAAGCAGCTTCACAGAGACAGCTTGCTGCCAGTCTTATCACCAAGGCCATATCGGTTTTTTTTATATGCTTAAAAACTCTTATGCTGAGGAGCCAGGAAAACCTAATCCTCTTAAAGTGATGCATCAGTGACTCCCCAAGCCCCAAAATGCTAAGCAAGTCAAAGATGGTGACTTCAGACTCTTCAAATCTAACTGCTCCATTGATAAGTCCAAACACATGATACTTAGAGTCTTAACATTTGACAAATTAGTCCCAACCCTGCTTATACTTAGCATGGAAAGATACAGACTATTATTTAAAGGCATGAAATATATAATTTGAATTAATAAACACAAGTATTAATCCTTTTTCTTATTTCTTAGGAAACTTGCTATGACTGGTTTGAGAAGGCAAATCCTCAATGTCAGTGAAAAATGAGGCTCTATTTACTTTTTACCTGAGGTAATAAACAGTCAGATGAAAGCATTAGTATTCTGTATTCAGTAGATGTTTGGCCTGTTCTTTTATAGATGAAACTGTGATATGTCTATGCTGAAAATCTTAATGATTTCATAGAGATAATTTGCCTCTTTAGAAGCTCTGTGGTAATGAGAGAAGTTACCTTCCAGTTTCTGGTAGTGAGGTTTTGCTTCATGTAGCACTGGTTTGTATGGTTGGCATGTGTTTAAACACTTTGTCTGATGGTGAAAAAAATAAAATCAAAACCAAGACCTTCAAATATTCCTCCCCATTATTTGTCTCTCATGATTTTTAATGTTTACATATAGTGGAACCAAGCATATCTGATTAGGTTTACAGTAGAGGCAAATGGTATTTTATTCTATTATCCTTTCAAATGTACCTTCCTTGCCAACAAAACATTTTTCTTCATGGTTCTGCAAAGAGCACTCAATTTGCTGCACTGAAAATAAAGACTTTCATGATCTCACAACTGATCCTGTGTTAAAGGGATTAGACTGAGTGAATGTCATCATCTCACTAGAAGCCAGTGGAAGATGAGACACACTCCACCTGCCTTTATCACCTTGTTCAACACTGAGATCCAAGGAAGGCATCATTCCATAGTAAGACAGTTGACTGACTGACTAACTTGCATAAATCTGTCCTTGACCATAGCACACAAATACACACTACATATATATATTCATGAGTGAATCTAAATGAAACACAGAGTATATAGACTACCTTCATAACACAAAAACAAAATAGATAGACTACCTTTGTAACTTAAAGTAGAAAAGAATGAGGCTGTGTCATTAAATATAGAGGACAGAAAGAAATAGAAACAAGTGTGCTGTTTCTTAGAACTTCTAATTATAATGAATTCTTCATTTTTTGTGAAATGCAAAATGCTACCCTTGAATAAACTATTTTCTAAACAAATATGGTATCAAAAGTAATATCTTTATTATATACAGAATCCCCAACAGTCATTGAGGAAAGAAATCTGTCTTAGATTTGTATTCTCTCAAATATAATAACTTGATTTTAAGCTATTCATTTATCTTTGGTAATCCCTTTTGTGTTTTCCAAACCTCAGCTAAATAAAGTTTAATATTTTCATTTCATGCTTTTGTGATTTCTCTACATTTCCATCATCTCCCTCATGGATTCTCTTGAACTTTTACACATTTCAACCTTCTAATAATGCACAAACCACCACCATCACACATATGTGCATGTGGGTGCACACACACACACACACACACACACACACACACACACACATATTCCACAGCAGGTCTATACCTGTGCTTTCTAGAATGGTGGCCATAATAGTTATAACTTAAAATTGAGTTAAATGCAAAAAGTAGTTGGATGGTGGTGGTGCATGCCTTTAATCCCAGGATTAGGGAAGCACAGGCAGGTGGATCTCTGTGAGTTCAGTCTGTTCTATAAAGTGAGTTTTAGGACAGCTAGGGTTGTTACACAGAGAAACCCTGTCTTGAAACACCAAAATATAAAATAAAAAAGAATGAAAGAAAAGTAATGTGTCAGTTAGCTAAAGCACATTTCAAATGCTCAGTCCTACAAATGGCTAGCAATTAGGGTTTGCTTTGCATGGTAAAGCTTGGAGAACAGTTTCTTAGTTGTAGCAAGTTCTAGTGCATACTGATTCAGCACAACCTTGTCTCACACCATTCATACTCTCCCATTTTATGACCATCTAGCTAGATGTGCTCTATATTTTTCCAAGGGGTTGCTTTTCTCTCCATTGTTACTGTGTATCATATAT